ATATAAATACAGCCCAAGCCAAAAGTAGTCTCCTATGGAGATACCACTGATGAACTCAGATCTCAAAAAGTGGTTTAGAGGATAAGAGGAGAGGCCCACAAATGGATGAACAGCAGGCACATACCTGTCTGTAGAAGAGCTGCTGGAGGCCTAAGGCTAGAGGTCAGCTAGGCAGAGAAAACACTGAAGAGGATGAAAGGGACCCTTTGAGTTCCTCTGGGTCTGAGGAAGGGGCAGAGGCCTTCTGCTGCTGCCCAGAGGTAACAACGAGAAAAATGCTAAGGCATTTCCTAGTTCTCTCTTATTTCTCTTGTGTGCAACCAGACGACAGGGAGCTTCAATTAAAAACAGTAAAGCTCACTGTACTAAAGAGCAAGGGCAGAAGCTCATGATAAAAAAAGAGCTGCCATCATCAGTGGTGCCCATTTTATGTCCAACCTATATGTACGCTCTCCTGAAATTCCAACAGTAACTCCGAAAAGTAGGTTTAACTATAACCAGCGACCTCTCTATTCCTCCCTCCCCTCCCCCAACCACACCCCGACTTTTTGTTAGCACTGAGATTTCTCTATGAGGAAAATATGAACATTATTTGAGAAAGACCCTAGTGAATTCCCCATGGATGAAGTGGGTTAGTTGAAGGTCAGGTAAAGAGGCTCACAAATGATTAGATAACTCAATTTTACTTTCAGAAGACTTAGGTTTGCCTCTGAATATGTCCGTTCTCCGATGAGGGAACTTGGTCACATTATTTAAACTATTTTAACTACAGTATTCTTATCTGCAAGATAAAGATGAAAAATATACATCTTATAAGGCAGTCATAAAACTAACTTAGATCTCATGACAGGATACATTATTGATATCGATTAATTTTGCAGGTAGAGAGAAGATTTTTGATCTTGGCCTTACTTTATTCAACATTTTGGGGATGTGGATAAAGATAAAGAAACTCCTTTAGCAGATTTGCAGGAGAAGCAGGACTGGCAGTGAAGATAATACTTTTGATTAGTCTTAAGATATCACATAATTCCAAGGAATGTCAAGGTTAGGACAGCCATAATGATCCTAGCAGGTTGGAATATTGGGTAACATCTACAAGGAAAAAAATTAGCAAGAATGTGTGCTTCTTTAATTACATTAAAAATGTAATTGCACAAAGACAGAATAAGGAAACAGCTCCCTTGAAGGATCGGAGACTGGTTTGACCACCAGCACACTCTGATTGCACTGTGTGAGGTGGCTGCAGGAAAAGGCCAGGGTGCTGGGTATGGTGGTGCACACCTGGAATCCCAGCAACCCTGAGGCTAAGGCAAGAGCATCAAAGTTTCCAGGCCAGCCTCAGCAACTTAGGGAGACCCTGTCTCAAAATTAAAAAATGCTAAGAGTTAGGGATGTAGCTCAGTGGTAAAGTGTTCCTAGGTTCAATCCCTAGTACAAAAATAAATATTTTTAAAAAGAAAGAAAAGGCAAGAGAATCATAGGTTGTGTCAATAGCAGACAGTCCACAGTGCTCTTCTTGGGCCAGAGCCCATCTGAAGTCAAACAAGATGACAAGGTTTCTATGAGTGACAGGCATTAGGAGAGCCTGGAAAAAAGAAGAATAAGTAGTGGTACCTGTAGAAATAATTATGGTGACACCAACACTGCTATGTCTATACCTACAGAGAGCTTGGATGTCTGTGTTGCACTAAGTCCCTTAGCTCCCATACTTCCTTCAATCCTCTGGATCTCATGAGTCAGGTGCCATTTTTCACCCCACTTTCCTACTGTATAAATGAGAAAACAGACTTAGGATCAATGGGTCACTCAAGGTTATACAGCTAGTAAGTGAAGGAGCTTTTATTTGACCTCAGCATTCTTATCTAGAACCGGTACTTTCAGCCAACATGATATTGTGCTGAGCTGGGGATAATACGATAGCTCTTACTTAAAAGGTTTAAAGGACTTTCTTGTGGAAGAGGGATCAAAACTTTGCTATGTGCTTTTAAAAGGTAGTGATAATTCCAGGAAGTATAAATACTGGAAGGGAGATTAAGGCAAAGTTTTAGGAGGAAGAATAACAGATCATGGACTGGGATTTTTCTATCCACTTGCCAAGCAGAGGTTGGATGGCCAACCTTCTCGGTAGTAGTCTTGATGACCCCTGCAAGGTTGCACAATTTTATTAGACTCATGGGCAAGTGTATTAATTAGGACTCATAACCTCAAGCAGCAGGAACCCCAAGTAACTGGGCTAGAATGCATGGGTTTTCTTGGGAGAACAAGGATACAGGCTCTTCTATCACAATGGAACCAGGAACATGAAACTTGTAGAGTTTTCTCTTCATTTCTGGCCTCCATCTGGCTTTGTTGATATTTTTTCCTCTTATAGCAAATGAACTTTGACCACGTTATCAAGAAACACAGTCACGGGCAATATTGACATGCTTTTTTCCCTCTATTTAATACGTTTAATAGGTTCTGGTCACTGGAGATGGACTGCTGCTTTGGTATCAAGGCACAACAAAATTAAACCAAAGAAGAATGACAGATTAAGAAGATTAAGAATCTGTGCCCACTATACCACCAGTTGGGGGACAGGGGAATGGGAATAGTTAGAGTGGCCAGTCTCATGGGAATGATATGGATGGATCAAAAAGGAAACAGATGGGGTTGTAGTTCAGTGGTAGAGCACTTGCCTCACATGCATGAGGCCCTGGGTTCAATGCTCAGCACCACATAAAAATAAAGACATTGTGACAATATACAACTTAAAAAAAAATTTTTAAAAAGGAAGCAGATGAAACACTAGGGTTCCCTGCCCCAAGGCCAAATGACCAAATGATGGGGTGCTGGGTGCTGAGCTGGGGGACTAAGGACTGAGTAACATTTGAACATTTCAAATAAAATTACATAGAGGATTAGGCCTCATCACTGCTCTAATTGTCAAACAGGTCTCACATTAAAAAAACTAGCTTCTCAACAAAACTCTTCAGTGGTTTGGCGATTGCCCAGGATGCAGAATCCTAGTCACTTGTTGTGAGCTCATTCTTCTTACTCACACACATTTTTTATGTGCTTATCACTATTTTGGACACCATACAGTAATAGAAGTAGTAGAATCATGATCCCAATCCCTCAAAATTCTTACCTCCTATTCTCTATGCTTGGAATATTCTTCATCTCACTCCTGTCTCCTGCGGTATACTCTCCTTCTGTTTAATTACTGTTCTTTTCTTTCTTTTTTCTTTTCTTTTTTTTCTTTTTTTTTTTTTTTTAGGATATCAGACTTCCCTGACTGACTAGTCTGGATTAAAACACTTTGCTGCATGCTCCTGTAACATTCTGGGGGCTTCATGTTAGGGGAGTTATGACCTTTGTAATGTTTTTCCCAGTGTTTTTCTTTGGTAGAATAAGAGCCCCATGAAGGCAAGATTATCTTTATTTTGTTCACCATTGTGCCTGGAATAACAGTGACTCAAAAAAGAGAGGGATTAAAGCAGCTTTCATTTGATAGATGTGTTTGAGTAACTATGTGTTAAGCATTGTTTTTGGCACTGAGGATACAAAATAGGAGAAAAAATAGACACAGTCTGTGGCTGAGGGGGCTTATGTGTTAGTCAAAGTGTTGGTTTAATGATGGAAGAACAGCTCACTCAAACTTCTTATTTCCCAGGCAAGGAAATGAATCCCAGAAAGCTTAAGTGACCTGAGTCCAGCCACATGGAAAATTTGAGTGGTACTGATTTTTTGTTTGTTCAGTTATTTTTAAAATGTTTCTTTCATACTAGTTTTCAATAACATTTCAAAAATCAAAGGCAGGTGTAGGAACTTGTTTATTCAGTCTGTGAATACTGGCAGGTCACTGAGGGCATCATAAGGTGACTGAGACAAACATGTAGAACACATGATTTTTATGAGCACACAAAGCCTTTTAAAGGTTAAGCCTGAAACAGGAAGATACCTTTGGTGATTTCTTACCCAATTGTGTTCTATCCTATATGAGAGTGACCATTATGTCCTTTGCTGTTTCTTGTGGAGCCTTGGCAACTAGAGTCTCCAGGAAAGGGAAGGTGTTGACATCAGGGCAGCCATGTTGTTAAAGCATAGTGCTGAGCTGGGAGTTGCAAAACAGACTAACATGAATTTTCACTTGAGAAAGTGAAAGGGCATAAGACAGGCAAGGGGAGTTTGGTAATAGGAGTTCTCAAATAGCAAAGAAGTAGCTCACTTGAATAGAGGATGTATATTGAATAATGAAAAGTATTATAGGATGGGTGGGGGACTGGAGTAGAATTGAGTCCTTGGAAATACAGGAAATGATTATTTTCAAGAATGGAGAGCTGGTTAAATTTAGATTTGAATTAATAATTAAATGTGGATTCAAACTACCTCTTAAGTTCAGATCTTGAAGAGGAGTCTATGGAAATTGCTGGGATCCTTTTTCCTAGTTTGAGGAACTACCCTCAAAAGATGTGGGGAAGACTCTGTCACCTATTTATTTACACTCACACAACTAGAAGCCAGTCTCTGGACAGGTTGTTTTCTCAGGTTACCACTCCTATCTTTTCAATTAACCAGGCACCTGCCCCATAGCTGAACTGACTCTTACAAACTCAAAAGCTTAAAGACAATGGCACCTCTGCCATCTTTACCCAGGGAACTGCATGGTTCCTTGTGACTCTGCTATCAGTGTCTGGCAGGACTGACTCAGAAATCTCAGTTTGCTCATCAAATCTAGAAATTGCTGAGTCATTTAATCAGAAAGCTCCTCAATCCAATAACAATTTTTCTAAAAAATAGCAACTTTTAATGATGTGAGCCAAGATCCTTTGGGATTTTGAAGAAAAGATATACTCTTCTGAGAGCTATTTGCTAAAACTGGCCCACTTTGGTCATGGATAGGAGGGAAGGTAATGTTGTTGTCTTGAATGAGAGGCAGGTTTGGGGCTGAGCTGCAGAAGGCTTGGGGAGGTGTGGAGAGAAGAGGGACAGAGAATGCACGGTTGTACAACATCTGTAAAGAAAATGTTTTATTTAAAGTGTTAAATACCATCACCAGAATGAATTTGATTTACATTAGTTGGTGTTTGTTACAGGACTAATCTGCCCTTTTTTTTTTTTCCCCAACTGGAATTCCCTTTACTTTAAAACATACTATGTACAGGGCAGCAATGGTCACTGGCAGAGTGCTATTTACATGACTAAACCACGAGTTGAGGTGCAGACATGTGGAAATTAAAAACAAAAACAAAAACACCAACTTTTAAATAAATACTGCATAATGACACGTATGTACAAATATTCCATACAGTCATGTCCTTCTTATTAAAATTAGAAATAATTTTATAGGAATATGCACAAAAGATTATGTGAGTGCATCTTAGTATCAGGAAAATGGTAAACGTTTAATCTAAGGGATAGTATAGACACTATAGGTCTATTAAACCAATTGTTGCTGGTACACAGGTGTCTAAATTATTTCAATAAAGTTTTATTCATTCTTTTAACAACTTTACCTGGGTCCATCATAGATCTCCAAATATCAAGACACAGTCTCGGTGTATTTCATATTGCACCACATAATGAGAAGGCATTTTTAGTGATACTCATTTTAACTTTTGCACCATATCAAGCATGATAGTTTGTAATGGTCAGCACTGGATTAAAAAAAAAAGAAGAGGAAGAGAAGAAAAGAATTTTTGTGCATGGTCTTCATTTCAACAAATGGGAGGTATGTGGATTTCAAAAGTTATTGCAAGAAATTAAAACCAATCTATAAGAATGTACTATCAAAATGTACATAAGAACCAGAAAGTATGGGTGGTTTATACATTATCCAGTGACTTTTCCTCAAAATAGGGGAACTTAAGAGAAATCTGACCTTGCAGCACCACCCAATGGTAATAACTCTCTGTAAAACCAAAGGCAGGGGTTTCGACTTTAAAGAAATTGCCTGAAGACTTTTGGTGATGGCATCAAAGAACTATTAATAGGCATATTGACTTTCTTGGAGTCACCTAAAAATTGGAGCTTTAAAATTGTTGCAAATTTATGTTTACTATATTTCTTTAGAAATATAATTTGTGAAAAATTGAATTTTACTACAGAAAAATGAATTAATAAACAGCCCTGTGTTTCAGGGCTTCAAATTTTTAGCAGTGTTTCTATTCACATAGTAAATGGAAATTGGCTAAAGAAACTGCTTTAACTAATTAAAAAACAAACAAAACCTGAGACCTTCTACAAATAATACTTTAACCCCTGTATGAATAATGCTGGTGCTAAAAACAAATTTATTAGACATTACAATGGCCATATGATTTTAGGATTTTCCTGTAAACTGAATTTTGAAGGTGAAAAAAAATTACCATGCACTGTACAATAAATTGCAAAAGTTCTTTGTCAAATACATGCTGACTTACTTTAATGTACTCCCAAGTCATGTTGCAAAATCCTTTTCAACATGCTTGAAATAAAGAAAGCTCTTAAATAGATTTTTCCCTTGAGAAATTCATAAATTCAGAAGCATCTATAGCTCTGAATCAAACATGGGTTATAAGAGAGGATCAGATCAAAAAGTTGTAATTTTTTAGAATAAGGTTCACTCTGGGAGAACAAAAATAAAAGATTAAAAGAGGGAGAAGAGGAAAAGTAAGACAGAGAAGAGAAAGATGTGAAAAATTTGCACATATTGAGCTCCATAAGATCTGTATATTTAACATGGAAATAAATTGAATATATTATACTTATTTGTCACATAAAGAGAATTTTACGCATCTTCTAGAAAGAATTTTCATTTGTAATGTCTGCCAAAACACAGACTATGATTAGTTTAAAGAATAAACATGGTGTGTCTTGTATCACCCTGTTGCATTCTCTCCCCTTTTTAAAACCATGCACTAGTGAAATTTATTTTTAAAAATAATATAAATTGTTGAAAATGGCTGATTTTTATTTATTTTTCTTTTTTTGCAAGTTGCAGCCCCAAGAAAATAATTTAAGTAATCAGCTAATCTGTGTCCATGCAAAAAAAGTTTCTTTAATTTCATTCAGTACAGTGTAGCCACAGAACTTTGTTTTTCAGAGTCCAACACATCTTGGCATTAGTGAATGACATGCGGCTGGAGCTACTGACTTGGCCACTCTTCCTGCTGGACCCCGTCCAGGGGAGGGCTGATGCTTTGTTCCCGACCACTTCTTTGGTGTCTTGCTTTACACCTGATGCTTCTAAGGACTTCTTTGCTCCTTGACCTGTAACATGGCTCAGAGGCTGTATAGCTCTATTTCTGTGGCATAATGGGGCTTTGGGATCAGATAAATGAAGAAAAAGGAACAATAAAAATATAAAGGTGCCATTGAAAAGGGCTTTTGTTGCATGAAACTGACTGATTCTTTGAGATAAATCCATGGCTTCAGATTGGACCACAACTCCAGTGTGGCTGAACTCCAAACCTCTCAGTTCTTCATAGCTCTGTCCTTTCACCTGAGGGCCTTCCTTAGGGCACAATGTGTGCAACTTCCTCTGAGAACACAGGATCGCTCTGTATCCCTAGAAACAGGCTCAGAAGACACAACATTAAGCATGCAGTGTTACCAGGGTTTGCGACCTGTGGATTTTTTTCTTTATTTTTTTTTCCTTTTGTAACGCTGGTTGCTGTGACAACAGTTTTACAGCTGCTATGAACGAGAGTAAGAAGGTCCGGTTGAACTTTCCAGAGATGACTGGGAAGCTCTTCTGGTCAGAGGGGCCAAGGTTGGATCTACTAGGGAGGAAGGGGGGAAGAGTTTGAACCATCCAATCACCATATTGGATAGTTCCAGTTCATCTAAAAGAATCTGGGCCACACCCATAAAGGATTTGTGATCCATGCGGCCATAATCTCCCCAGACAATGATCTGTTGGCGAAATAAAAAGTAATGTCAGAGTAATCAAGTACATAACAAAACCCTGTAAAATACATTAAAATACTAAAATCAATCAGTTAATGTTCTGACATCAAAGATTAAAAGAAACCATTGTATTTGATTAATGGGATAGTTGTCTTTAACTACAAGGATACAAGTTCCATTAAGAAAACTGTGCTGGAGGGTTAGGGTCATAAGCAGTCAGGGAGACTGGCTGATGGTGACCGGGCTTTGCACGCTTCTGATTCACTTCAAAGGGAACATCAACGAGCATAGCTATATGGCATGGGCTATTGCTTTGAAATTTTCAAACAATTTGAGCTGTGTGGAACATAAAAGAGGGAACAGAAAAGATACAGGATAAAAGGTCTGACTCTGTGAAATGCTTTCTTATTTAAGGGATCAATGACTTAGTAAATACCTGTAAAACTTTTCCTTGAGGACTCTCTTCAAAAGATAACAGCTGCTGGTAAAGGGGCTCCAGCGTTTTTCTTGCCACTTTTGTTTTCTTCTTGGCTATGCAGACTCCGTTATCTAATAGGTACACCTTTACGTAGGGTGCTGGGAAAGCAAACATAGAGGTGATGAGCCATGAACTGATGAACTGTGGCTGTGGCATACCTGACACAGGTGTCACCTGCAAGAACTGAAAAGGCTGGCAGAGATCCAAAGCCACTGGCCTTGCAACCCTGGGTCAAAATCATTAGATAAACAACAGATAACTGTCTGGCATTCAGAGAGGTTAGGGGATGTTGACACAGCCTGAGCATTTTTTTTCTTTTTCTTCAAATTATTTTGGTATCAACTAACTATGTAAATTTAAACATGGCATTAAATAAGGTGAGATGCTTCCAGTTCCTATCAATATTCAAGAGTGATGTCTTAGTCTTTAATTTACCAATACTTAAATTTAGTTAAAGATGCTTAAAATTCTTGTTTTACTCATCTACCTCCACAAATCACTTTTAGCCCAGAGGCATTTATTTTTTGCTGGTGTGTGAGGGTACAGAATGGGTGGGGTTTGAGATGATGTGTTTAGTTAGGAAGAGGCAGCTAATTGTGAATTCTATGGCTTAAAATTTATCTGACAAGCATTTCATAAAATTATGCTCATTTATGTAAAAGTCACAATATTCTTTATGGCAGAGTGAGTTGACAAGCTCTAAGACCTTTACAAACACCATCATTTTAATCATCATTACGAGGTTGTACATAGGGAATATATACTACATTTAAAAATTTCTGTAAGGATAGAGAAGTTAAGAGATTCAAAACACAAATCAGTCAGTGGAGGTGCTGAGGCTGGAATGCAAGTTTCAAATCCTCAGCAATTGTTTTATACTTCTGATCGAATGACCTCTGCACGATGTTTATGGAGTCACTGAGCCATTTCCTATGGTTTCAAACACCTTAAATTATGACATTTCGGTATGAAGTATATGGCATAAAGTTATAACAGTGTCTCTCTTTCTTAATATACAACAGGAAGTCATACCTTAGAATATCCAGGATACATAGGATGATGCTACTATGGGGGCCTGTACCTATTTTTATTCTAATTCCAGAACACTAAGGATACTGAAGGAGAATTTTGAAGCTCCATTTAAACTAAAGAATAACATGGAACACCAGCTAGCAAAAAATCCGAACTTTGAATATACAAGTTGTGACAAAATGAATTATTTAAGGGTAGTGGTTTACATTTTGCAGTGGTTTCTAGTTATATATGTACTTATTTAACAACTTGTATCATCTCATCAGATCAACCTATTGAACACTCATTCAGGATGTACATACAGACTGCAATAGCCCCAAACCAGTCAGAGAATTGACTCACCTGTCAGTATCTTTGATTAACTAATAACTAAGTTTTTAGCAATAAAAACAAAGCATCTACATTGAGAAACAATGGATTATGGGTAATAATAGAAGAATCTTTTCTGGTTTTACCTGGCAGTGTCTTGGAACCTGGTTTTACAACAAGGCCACGGGCCCGAATGATTTCCACCTCCAATTGTCCCTTTTTGTCCATCATTCCTATCTGAATATCACCTAATAGTGCATGGAAAAGAAATAGACACACCTTACTGTACAAACATGGAAAGAAATGCTTTGCCAAAGATCTTGGCTTAACATCATTTCATCATTTCCATATATTTTCTTAAACTTAAAAACATTTAATATTTTATCAATGTCTTCCTTTAAAAATCAAAAGAAATTATAATAGAAAAAAACAAAGCTTTTTTGTGTTATACAAGATAATTTATTCCTACTGATAATACTGTCAAAGATTCTATGAAATTGAGAGAAAGCAATTTTCAATAATCTAAAAGAAGAGCAATGGAATCACGAGGCAGAAATTCTTACCCATTGCAGGAGTAGCTAAAGTCTGGCGTCCCACTAGCTGAGCAGGACCAAGGCCATCAAGGAAATCGCTAAACTGGCTATCGGAGGCCAAGCGGACACCAGGGAAAATCAGACTGAAGGCAAAATAACAAACAGAATTAATTCCTCAACCCCACCTTGCTCTCAGGAAAGTTCTAGCTTCCTCCAGCTCCCTCAACATGGCGGGATACTTGGCAATATCACTTTGGTGTGTATTTATTATATCCCAACACTGCTGAAGGTTCTGTAGTGCCAAAACACCAGATGAGAACTCCATCTGATATGATGCCAAAGCCCCTGGTCTTAACCACTGATACTGACTCACTCTCACACATGACTTATGCCCCTAGCTGGCAGCACAGTGTCTAGAGAAACAGAAGAGAAGATGTGTTGAATGAGTTTACAAGTATTCATCTCATTTCTCCAATAAGACTATAAACATCAGGAGCAGGGAACACAGCTTAAATATTTTATATCCCTTATAGTATATAATGCAGGGCTTTATAAATATTAATGCTCAGTAATCATCTGTTTTTCACTTGATTCTCTATTTTTAAGATTCTTTCTTGATGGACATCAAATATATTTCTTTTTTCTTCACCTCAGTTAATACAAATGTTTTAGTCTGTTTATATAAGTATCTCATATAACCTTATTAATACATTTTTATGTAAGCCATACATCTCTCTTTTATTTATGTAATCATGCTAGACAAATTACCCCTAGGAGACATCAGTAAGACTATGCCAGCAGATCCTATGGCCTCAAAACTGTGAACATGGAACATCTAAGCATCTGTAGTGATGGTTCAGTGAGGTCAGTAAATCCACTTTCCTCTATTAATGTCCTTTACATTCCTATTTACAGAGTTGTAGCTGTCAATTACTGTTATTTTGTTGGTGACAGGGCTATACAATCAAAGAGAAACTACATATGACTAAAAAAAGACTCATCAAGTTTTCCAGTGCCATTTTTTTGGCTATTATATTTCACATAACTTAGTGTCATACAACTTAATTTTATATAGCTAAGTTATATGAAATATAGTCATTGCATCAAACTAAGTATACATCAGGAGTGCATATTTTTGGTAATAACTCAGTGCTATGATTTTTTAAAATTAGCACTGTCCATATAGCATGGCATGAATGCTTACTATTTTTGTACTTTTATATATTATTTTAAACCAGGGCAAAATATTTTATTTGCATGCAATGTGAGAGCCACATTTTACATATTGTCATTAAAGCAAAACACTTTATCCCCGAACCTATTTCCTTTGGTATAAAAAACCAGATATGTTGCATTGCTCAGTAGCTGGTAAACAAAATTCTATTCACAGAAAATCAGCCAATGAAAATTAAAATGGAACAGCAGAGTGTGTGAGTTTGCTTTAGTGAAAGCAGAGGGTGGGACAGAGAAGATGGTCTCTGGGCAGCACAGAGGAGACTGGCCTCACTCACTTTCCTTCTGAGCTATAGCTGTTCATGCTGCCATCAGTGGATTCCCGGCTTGCCTGTCGGGTCATCCAGTTCCTCATCTCCACCGCCAGACCTGTTTCTGTACTCCTCTGGACAGTGCTCCGTAGCTTTTTACCTCCTGCTTCTGCAAAAACAGAAATCAAATGGTATCACAGCCTGGCAACAAAAATCATCACTGTCTGGCAAGGGAAAGTATCAGCCAACCTCATGTACAGGAAGTGTTCCTACTGAGAAGACAGAGAGAAAAGATATTTAGAATGATTTTAAACAACATCTTATTTTATGAGATCAAAATCTTTAAGCAGCACAAATACCATTGTTTTACTTCCATTTAAAACAGTGTTCAAATTTAACATAAAGATTCAACCCACAGATAGAATAAACTTTGTTCTTGTTGTAATATTTAAAGGCCAAGTTAGTTTATGCCTACCTTCCTCCCTACTTCCTTTGTGTTGTGATAAAGAACTGAGCCTTCAAATTACTTACAAAGAGCTGATGGTGAGACAATACTCAAATTCTAGCCTTAACTTTCACAAGAATACCTGGTTTTCTAGGGTGATAGATATCAGAAGTGAAAGCTAACTGTTTGATAGCAGTTTCATATATGTTGGTAACTTTCATAAAGATTCTCAAAGGGGAATGTAAAAGCTCAGTAATATCATGAGAAAAGAGCTTTGAAATTTTTGGTCATGTTATTAAGGATTTTTGGTGATGAAGCTGACATTCACATCAGAAGACCAGTCAGGAGACCGAGTCAAGTACTACAGATGTCACAGAGGGAGGAAGTGCTGTCTGGAGATGTCAGGGAGGGAGAGGGAGTGGGGTTGGAACCCAGGATTGAAAAGTAGACAGGTTAGAACTCAAGCAAAAAACTCAATGCTGAGGGAGGGGAACACATGGGCAAAGATGCAAAGTCAGGGATGATCACGTGCACCCGAGGAGGTGCATTAGCCAAAGCACATGAAGGAGGAATGAGGAGTGAGGTAGACAAGAAACTGAGTAAAAAATTCCACAGGCCTTAAATGTTGGAATATGCAGTTGAAAGACGACCAAAGCAAGAAGGTGACACTCTAAACTATTTGTATTCATTTCTTTCTTGTCCAGTCTAAATATTTTTCCACATTGACTCTGTTATTAGCTTTTTAGGATACAACCACATGGTAAGATCTTTTAGTGGCTTACCACTAGTAAGTTCTTTTAGATCTATAAATGCTATTAGTGCCAGTGACTTGTTGAAATCTCTTTCACCAAGTTTCTTATATTTGCTCACCACTTTGAAACACTGCTTTAAATTTCATCCATTCTCCACTGCCAATTTTAATGTACATTAACATGCTTTAATGAGCATTTACACAAAATCTAAGTTATGTTTATCTATGACTCAGTTGCATAACCTAAAGATATTTTAGATAATTGATACCAAACATGTTGTACTGATATGAACTGTAAAAATACATAAAGCATCCCCCCTTGTTGCATAACCTAAAGATATTTTAGATAATTGATACCAAACATGTTGTACTGATATGAACTGTAAAAATACATAAAGCATCCCCCCTTGACTAGGGAAGGCTCTTATTTACAGAGGAATTAATAAATGTAAGAAGAATGATAAATTTAAAAATTACCAATTTGCTACCTTAAGTGAGATTCATCAATGGAGCAAATGCCATTTGATGAAAGATTGGGAAAAGGATATATATATATATATATATATTTGCTCACCACTTTGAAAAACACACACACACACACACACACACACATATATGCACCAAAGAATCATACCACAAATGAGTTCTAATTGTTAAAGCAAAAGAAAAAAGATACATTAACTGGGAAGATCTGTCTATACTGTCTTAATTCATAAATATTAGTAGTGCTAGTGAGTGTATCAATATATCCCTCCTTATACAAAATACACAGTATCACTTGTCAGGTTGTTGTAAACAAAATATACAAACTGTTTCCAGTCAAGTCTTTAGGACCAACTTTGAGTTTTCAAAAATACAGAGTAATACACCAGGCATGGTGGTGCACGCCTGTAATCCCAGTGGTTCGGGAAGCTCAGGCAAGAGTTCAATTCCCAGTACCAATAAATAAATAAATAAAATAAAACAATGTAGTATAAATATGATAATAGACATGCATACAACATCAAATCCAGAACACAGGATATAGTTCAAGAGAATTGGCATACTTGCTTAAAAAGTTAGCATCATGAAAAATCCAAACTTGATGAGGGAGTTTTTCTAGTTTAAAGATATCAAAGGGTGTAACCATCAAATGCTGTGAGTATATTTTGACTTCTTATTTGGAAAAAATAAGACAAAACAAATAAGAAACCCAACAAATAAAACAGTATAAAAGTAAGACAAGTAGGAAATAAAGCGCAAGAAGTAAAATCAAGAATCATTAAAAGGGATAGATTCAAACTAAAAAGCTTCTTCTCAGCAAAGGAAACAATAACATGAAGAGAGAGCCTACAGAATAGGAAAAAATCTTTACCAGACACACTTTGGATAGAGCACTAATATCCAGGATATATTAAAGAACTCAAAAAACTTAATACCAAAAAAAAAAACCCAACAACAACCCAATCAATAAATGAGCTAAGGAACTTAACAGACACTTTACAGAAGAAACAATCAATCAACAAACATATGGGGAAAAAATGTTCATTATCTCTAGCAATTAGAGAAAAGCAAATCATCTCACTCCAGTCAGAATGGCAATTATCAGGAATACAAGCAATAATCTGTGTTGTCAAGGATGTGGGGGAAAAAGGTACACTCTACATTGCTGGTGGGACTGCAAATTGGTGCAACCAATCTGGAAAGCAGTATGGAGATTCCTCAGAAAACTCAGAATGGAACCACCTTTTGACCCAGTAATCCCACTTCTTGGTTTATACCCAAAGGACTTAATCAGTATACTACAGTGATACAGCCACATCAAATGTTTATAGCAGCTTGATTCACAATAGCTAAACTATGGAACCAACCTAGATGCCCTTCAACAGATGAAAGAATAGAGAAAATGTAGTATATATACAATATGGAATATTACTCAGCCTTAAATAAGAATGAAATTATGGCATTTTCAGGTAAATGGATGGAACTAGAGAATATCATGCTAAATGAAATAAGCTAATCCCCCCAAAACCAAAGGCAGAATGTTTTCTTTGGTCAACTGATGATGATCCATAGTTGGGGCAGAGGAGGGAAGAATGAGGGAACTTTGGATTGTGCAGAGGGGAGTGCTGTGGGGATGGGTAGGATGGTAGAATGAGACAGACATTATTACCCTATATACATATATGATTACACTACTGGTGTGACTCTGTACCAGGTTCAGCCAGAAGAAGAACTTGTGCTTCATTTGTGTATAATGTATGAAAATACACTCTACTGTCATATATAATTAATTAGAACAAAATTTAAAAAGTACATTAAAAAATAAATTAAAAAGTAGGAAAAATGTGAATATGGATTAAATGTTAGATGGAGTTAGAAAATTACTAATTTTTTAGATGAAGAATATTAGTTATTTAGACCTGAAATCTTATATTGTCTTCAATTTACCTTTGAATGGTGAAGCAATAAATAAATAAAAAGAAAAATACATATATATAAAACAAAGATGGAAACTGTTAGAAAAGGTTGAGAATGCAGATTAGACTATAGTATTCATGAATTTAATATTTATAGCTTTATTTCAAAGTGATTCTCAAATGATGACATCAGATAGTAGTAAAATTTTGCGAATCACAGAGCTGCTAGGCCAAGGACACAGCATTTGCTTTTCTTTGTAGCTTTGATGTTCATAGGAAGTAAACAATGCCTTTGTGAAAACTGCCATGGAGTGAGATACTTGAGTGAAGTATGAATGGGTGGAAGAAAGGAGGATACCTACAGGAAGCACCTGACAGAAGGGAAATGAGGTTCCTGCAGATCTCTGCAATGCCAAAGATCTACTCCTTTTTATTTAATGTCTCCCTCTATCAAGCAAAAACAGTGACTTTAAAATCTACTGTTATTGGGTAATGAGAGCCAGCCACTACTTGCCAAAGAATAGTAATACAATGAATATGTAATTATTTCGTTTGGGGGCTGTTTTATTCATGTATCCTCTTCATAACAATTCTAAAAATGCTCATTCTTACAGATGTATTATCAAAGGGCCCAGGAGATTATATAGTTTCCTGAAGAAACATGGTAAAGGACAGAACCAGAATTTGTGCAGAGTTGCTAGACTTCAAATTCCCTGCTATTTGTTAATTTGTTGTCAGAAAACACAGGTTTATGCGGCTGTCCTTGGACGATACTATGCTAACTCTGTAGCAGCATGCAGCTTTAGATGCAGCCTGGTGGGATGGGAAGAGCAGAGCAAAGTGAAGTCAGTCAAATCTCGGAATCAAACTGCTTCTCTAACATTTACAAGCTGGGTGACATTATTGAAGGAGTTACCCTCTCAGAGACATGTTTTTTTCCAAACTGTGAAATGATAGTGATAATAATTCATATCTCATAGAATTTTTGTGGGGTTTGAGGAAAATAAATATTTAGGGTTCTTAGCTGGGCACCTGATACTTAGAAATTCTGACTTAAACTAATGGCATTATTATTACTATTACCAGACAGGGAATCAGAAAACATGTATTCTAGGTCGGTCTTATCCATTAGCTAACTGGCTCATTGGCCTTCTTGGAGTCACATTCCCTCTCTGAGTCTCTGGCTTGTTGTATTTATGAAAAAGGCAGATGGAAGAGGACGGGTGATCTCTGATATCTTTTGGCTCTAATGTCTATGAATTAGACATTATTAATTGACCACAATTAAAAGCATACATTGAAGACATATGCTGCTCACTGTTATCTGATAGAATCAAAGAATTCTTGCTAATATACTATTTACAGTACACTGTTTCTAGTATCCCTTTAAAACTTATCTTTTGAAGGGTTCCACTACCTGAAACATTTATAGACTTATTTAAAAAGTAAATTTTTCAGCACCACAAAAATCTTTGTGTTACATTCACAATGAAACTACTTCAATCTAAATATAATGCATATGTGATTCACATTTAATATTCCCAATGATTTATCACATTGTGAAATCTAAAATC